TCTGAATTTCTGAATTTTTGAATTTCTGAATTTCTGGATTTCTCGAATTTCTGAATTTTTGAATTTCTGAATTTCTGAATTTCTGAATTTCTGAATTTTTGAATTTCTGAATTTTTGAATTTCTGAATTTCTGAATTTTTGAATTTCTGAATTTCTGAATTTCTGAATTTCTGAATTTCTGAATTTCTGAATTTCTGAATTTTTGAATTTCTGAATTTCTGAATTTCTGAATTTCTGAATTTTTGAATTTCTGAATTTCTGAATTTCTGAATTTCTGAATTTCTGAATTTCTGAATTTCTGAATTTCTGAATTTCTGAATTTCTGAATTTCTGAATTTTTGAATTTCTGAATTTCTGAATTTTTGAATTTCTGAATTTCTGAATTTCTGAATTTCTGAATTTTTGAATTTCTGAATTTCTGAATTTCTGAATTTCTGAATTTCTGAATTTCTGAATTTCTGAATTTCTGAATTTTTGAATTTCTGAATTTCTGGATTTCTGAATTTCTGAATTTTTGAATTTCTGAATTTCTGAATTTCTGAATTTCTGAATTTCTGAATTTTTGAATTTCTGAATTTCTGAATTTCTGAATTTCTGAATTTCTGAATTTCTGAATTTTTGAATTTCTGAATTTCTGAATTTCTGAATTTTTGAATTTCTGAATTGCTGGATTTCTGAATTTCTGAATTTCTGAATTTCTGAATTTCAGAATTTCTGAATTTCAGAATTCCTGAATTTCTGAATTTCTGAATTTCTGAATTTCTGAATTTTATAGAAAATGTCCAATCGATTTTTGGTGGGTATTTTTGGAGGTGTTGGGTCTGGAAAGGTAACTTTAATTTTAATTTTTAAAAATTTTAATAAAAAATTAATTTCAGAAAATCCTGACTGACAAACTAGCCAGACACATTCGGGACCCTCGAATCGAAATTCTGAAATTTCATAATTTTGGGAAAAACGAAATTTCAAATCTAAATTATCGAATTTATATCGATAAACCTTTTGATAGATTGCTGGAGAGATACGGTAGTTTTTGAAATTCAATCAAAATTTTTGAATTTTCAAAAATTGTAGTTCTAAGTCTGCCAACAAGAATTCTACTGGACAAAAAAGTTTTGGGTCAACATTTGGAGGAATTTCGAAAATTCCATATGGCAAATGTTGTGAATCAGAAGACTCTAGCTGATTTCTGGCTTTCTGGAGACATGGAGAATGAAGAAGGTGGGAATTTAAATTTCAGAAATTCAGAAATTCAGAAATTCAGAAATTCAGAAATTCAGAAATTCAGAAATTCAGAAATTCAGAAATTCAGAAATTCAGAAATTCAGAAATTCAGAAATTCAGAAATTCAGAAATTCAGAAATTCAGAAATTCAGAAATTCAGAAATTCAGAAATTCAGAAATTCAGAAATTCAGAAATTCAGAAATTTTCGAGGGAGGGGGAGTGTGTGGATTATAAAAAACCGAATTTTCCCAGATTCTGAAGTATCAAAAATTCTGAAATGCAATAAAAATGAGTTGGAATTTTAACAACAAAAAAAAACCTGCATTTTTTCAGACAAAATCCACCATTTGGCTCTGGAAATTCTTAAAAAACGAATCAATTTCGATGATGATGAAAATGTGAAAATCTACTTGGAAGCCAATCACGGAAAATCGATAAAAAGTCATCCGAATAGATTGAAAAACGGAAATTCAGAAATTTTTTGATTATTTGCATACTTTGATTTTTGAATTGATTCTGAAACATTCAAATAAATTCGAATTCGATGATGTTTATACTTATTTTGAAGCTCTGGACACGGCAAACTCCAATTTGCAAAAATTTCTCAATTTGATCGAAAAATAGCCGAGTTACGGTAGTTTTACACTTTTCGGGTCTCACCCCAAAAAGTGCAAAATTCTGAAAAAATTAATTTTTCAAAAGTAGTCGTGTTTATACTCATTTTGAAGCTATTTTCTTCTTGAATTCAAATTCCAAGATGATTTTCAAATTTAAGAAATAACAAAAATAAATAAATAAAAATAAAAATTTATTCAAATTTCCTCGTTTTTCTCATTTTCATCATTCTTCTTCTCCATATTTTGTGTTCTTCTGGCAGTGATAAAGAAGAATATCATGGCAATTATCAAATGTACAGATATTCCGATTGTATAGACATACAATGGGATGATAGGTGATAAGAAGAACAGGAAGCATGAGCCGAGAGCCTGGAAAATTTTAAAAATTAAATTTTTTTTTAAATTTTGAAATATGTTGGAAAATGCAAAACTGGAAATTCCTTAATTTATCATTTAAAAAAATTTTTTCGAAAATTTCAAAAATTCCAAAAATCCTACCTGATAAAGTTTGGAAATTGAAAATGCCTGAGCTCGTCGATCGGGCATTGCTAATGCACAAATCACGGATCTACAGCTATTCAGACAGCAATCCCCGATTCCAAGTGTCACTCCGATCAGGAAAATGAAAAAGTAGCTGAAATGGATTTTTTTAATTTAGAAATAAATGATTCGAATTGCCATAACTTGCTTTATAGTCATCTAAACCGAATGAAACTTAGATTTTTGAATTTCCAATGTTTTGCGCTTTAAAATGAGTATAAACACGACTATGTTTGAAAAATCGATTTTTTTAAATTTGTGCACTTTTCGTGGTGGGACAAACTACCGTAACTTGGATACTTTTTGACCGAATCCAAAAATTTTTGCGGATTCAAATTTATCTCGTTTAGATCTTCAAAATGAGTGTAAACATGACTAGGTTTAAAATTTAAAGATTTTTATGATTTGCGGGTGTGTGTGCATTTTTGGGCAAAAATTTCAATTCGCTGTAACTTGCTTCATTTTTATCGAATACGTATGAAATTAACATTTTTGAGTTTTAAATGTTATGCGCTTCAAAATGAGTATAATCATGCCTAGGTTTTAAAAAATTGAAATTTTGTGATTTTCAGGTCTCACCACGAAAATCATAAAAATCTTGTAACTTCAAACACAGTCATGTTTATACTCATTTTGAAGCTCTTTTTCTCCCAAATTCAAAATTTCTATCCATTTTTCATAAAAATCCCCCAGTACCTGTGCCCAAACCAAAGAGCATCCTCCCGTGTTGGCTTATGTGGTGAGTCATACGGTGTCGAGACATGGACCATGAAAAACGCCAAAATCGAAAACACAGTACCCAAAATCATGGCAGGTTGAAAACAAAAGTCTTTGTGTCGACGGCTCATCTGGGTGATGAATAGAGCCACTGGAAATTTTTTTTCAGAAATCCAGAAATTTTCAAAATGTTGAAAAAAAATTTTTTGAAAAAAATTATAAAACTCACTAAAAATTTCGCCAATTCCAATTCCCAATGGATAAATGGCACATAAGTAGGTCATTTCAAAATTGGCTACTGTAAAATTCATAGCTGTCGGAAAAATCGATAACCAAAATGAGGAACTTGTCCCGAGGACTGAAAACAGGAAGAATAGTTCCAGCATACTACGGTCGACAAGCGCCGTGCAGGTTTGTTCTGAAAATTGGAGCTTTTATTTTGATTTTGGAGTGAAATGAGCAAAAAATTTGAATTTGGCGCGCAAAATTAGGTTACAAGCTTCAAAATGAGTATAAACATGAGTTACTTGTTCATTTCTTTGAATAAAAAGGTATACTGTACTTTCAGTCAATTTATCTCGGTTACTGTATGAGATATCCAAAAGTGATCAACTAATAAAATGTTTATCATATTATCAGTAACATTATATCAGTTGACCTTTTTTAGATATCTTTCTTAGGAACCGAGATAAATTGGTTCAAAGGGGACCCGTCTGAGAGAAAATTTCCTCAAGTTCTTAAAACTACCGTAACACTTAAAAAATAGTCATGTTTATACTCATTTTAACGCTATTTTTCTGCCCTATTCAAAAGTATTAGTTTCATTAAGTTTGAATGAAAAATGACCAAGTTACGGTAGTTTGTGCACATCAAAAAGGAAAAATTTTAGATTTTTTTTTTTTGAAATTTTGTAAAATTTCAATTTTCATGAAAAACTAGGCATGTTTATATTCATTTTAAAGCCCAAATTACGGCAAATTTGAAAATATTATTTGTATCAAATTTGTGCAAAAAATAACCAAGTTACAGTAGTTTGTACACATCAAAGATGACAAATTTTGAAAAAAAAAGTATAAATATGACTATATTTGAAAAATTTTCAATTTTTCGAACTTTTGGGAGTAGGGCCCAAAAATCGAAATTTTTCAAATTTCATAAGAACCAGGCATATACTGTTTATACTCATTTGAAAGCGCATAAAATGTTCTATTAAAAAAAATTAATTTAAAAAAAATAGATCAAAATGAAGCAAGTTATACCAATTTGAATTTTTACAAATTTTCAATAAAAAATTTTTTTCAAAATTTTTTATTTTTCAAAATAAAACTTTCCAATTTTCAAACCTTTTCTTGTTTATACTCATTTTAAAGCTCTTTTTCTGTTCTTTTCAAAAATGTCATTATTTTCCAGAAATTCTGAAATTTCACCCACTAAAACTTCCAAGGAACGTTCCCTTCTTCTTTGTCTCCTGTATACAATCGGTCACATCCTTCCCAGGCGCAGCCAGGAAATTCACAATTCCCAAAACACTGGCTCCAAAAAAGACTCCGAATAATAATTTTCTAAAAAATCAATATTTTGGTGGCCTAGAAATCCCAAAAATCACATTTCTAGGTCGCTAAACCTCCGCTCCACCCAGTTTTCCAGACCCAATTCTGGAAAAAAAAAAGAAATTTGAATTCGGAGAAGGAGCATGTGCCATACTAGTGACTCCAGCAAATATTCCAGATGATATGATCAGGCTGAAAATTTAAAAATTTGAATTTTTTGAAAATTTTTAATTTCCCGCCAAATGGAAAATTTACCAAACACATCCAATGGACCAGGCAATATTGACATTCGATTCTATAGTTTTTCGAGTAGAATGTGATGTCATGTAACCTCCATTTCCTTGGTAATACACTAAAACAAAGTTTTGTGATTCTCCAGAAAAAATAAAGAAATCCAGAAATCCAATTTTTCTAGGCCACCGAATTTTTTTTGAATTTTCAAAAAATGAGCATTTTTTCAACAATTTCTAAAGTTGATGGCCTAGAAATTTCAGTTTTCTGGGTTTCTAGGCCACCATGAATTTTGTGATTTTTGATGGCCTAGAAACTCAGCAAACTAGAATTTTCTAGACCATCAACTTTCAAAATAGCTCAACATGATCCAATTTTGAAAATTCAAAAAAAAAATATTTTGGTGACCGAAATTTTGCATTTTTGGGTTCAAGGTTTTTGGTGGCCTAGAAACCCAGGAACCCGGAATTTCTAGGCCAATAATATTTGAAAGTGCTAATTTTGCTCAAAATGTTTCAAATTTGAAAATTCAAAAAAAAATATTTGGTAGCCTGAAAATTGGATTTTTGGGTTTCTAGGCCACCAAAAAATGCCCAAAAAGAGTAGAAAAACTCACAAGCATAACCGAAACCAAGTAGCATTTGTGAAAAATAGTAATAATTGGAATTAACGAAAAAAAATCCCAAGGGAAAGGAGGCGAAACAAATTGCGGAAGCCACTAGAATCCATTTGGAGCCAACTTCATTTAAAATCGATGGGGAGAACATACAACCAATCATGTATAATATGTACATTACCGCTTGTCTGAAAGTTTCAGAAAAATTTTTGAAAAAATTTTTTTTTTCAAGAATTTCTGAATTTCAGAATTTTTCTTTTTTTCTAATATTGTAAAAATTTACCCATAATATCCTGCATATTTGCTTATCACATCCGGATTTCTCTCATTGATTGAATGGATCACAGATTCCAGGACGAAGGACTGGAATTTTTGACAAAAAAGTTTTTTTTTTCAAAATTTTGTAATTTCAGTACAAAAACTACCGTAACTCGGCTAATTTTCGCACAAACTCAATGAAAACTACATTTTTGAAATTGTTGTATTTTGCGCGATGAAATGAGTATAAACACGACTATGTTTCGAAAAATCGATTTTTCCGATGATGAGACCCTAGAAGTGTAAAACTACCGTAACTTGCCTATTTTTCGAACGAACCGAAAAATTCTTGCAGATTCAAGTTTGGCTTGTTTAGAGCTTCAAAATGAGTATAAACACGACTAGGCTCCGCCCATTTTGAATTTTGACACTTTTTGACTTTAAAGGCGCATAGGGGGTCCGAAAAATGAAAATCGGAGAAAGTAGGTCATGATTATACTCATTTTGAAGCTCTTGACAAGTTAAATTCAAATCTGCGTGAATTTTTTGATTTGGGTGAAAATTAGTCACGTTACGGTAGTTTTACATTTTTCGGGTCATAGCACGAAAAGTCCAAAAACCAAAAATTTTAAATATAGTCGTGTTTATACTCATTTTGAAGCTCTTAACGTCCTAAATTTGAAAAATCAATTTCCCAAACCTAAAATCCGAAATTACGCCTAGTACATACCCCAGAATCATAACCAACCATAATAGAGAGATGCCCAAATCCCAACATAATGGCACATAATAACTCGTATCTTCTGGTGGTAGGCGGTTGGCCCATTTTTTCTGAAATTAAAGTTTTTTGGCTGAAAATGAAAAAAATTGTTTAAAAAATTTTTCAAATTCCAAAAATGTTCCCGGTTACGGTTCTTGACACTGCCTATATGATAAAAAGGCGCGAAATTTGAATAATCGGGTTTTGAAAAACGTTTTCCGGGTGCGTTTTATGCATTTTTCAGGTTTAGATTATAATAAAACTAAACTTTAGGAAAAATGTCCAAAAATCAAAAAATCAGGAATTTCAAAAAAAAATGCATTTTTCTAAACTTTCGAAATTTGATATAAAATTTGATTTGTTTTTCGAAAACTATTCACATTTTCAAACTCAGCACGAAATGTGCTTCAAAACGAGTACAGGGTGGGGTATAAATATAGCGCCGCTTTCAAGACGGTGTAGAAACCTCGAACCAAAAGATTTTTTTTTCTCAAATTCGGTCAAGATGTTCATTAAAGGTGGGGGGACATGAAAAAAATAATGTTCTCGAAATTCCGTTCAAAGATGCCCCTCGAGGAGTTGAACTTGTGAGGGCGATGATTGAGGGTGCGGCGCCGCTACCGACTGAGCTACACGGGCAAAGAGAAAGCGCACGCCCGATTGCATACATAAAGGCGAGGACGACAGCTGTACGCAGAGTGACATTAAGCGTTGTACACCGTGACGGTAGAATGCATACTCTAGCAACAAAAGATGGCATTAACAATTATTGAGCCTTCCTCCGTTCGCTCCGATGACAGCTCAAAGTCTCTTCAAGAAGGCGTCGACTACGGCACGGGGGGTAGTTGACGTCCAAATTGTCCCATGCCGCGGTCAAGGATCTATTCAGGGCTTCCAAATTAGGATAATTTTTTGTGGAGACTCATTGGGTCCAATGTTCCCAAAACAAAAAATTCGTTGGATTGAGTACCGGACTGGAAGCTGACCATCGATCCTTTGTGAGAAAATCCGGAAAATTTGCTTGGAACCACTGACGAGTGAGCTTTGCAGTGTGTGCAGGCACTCCGTACTGATAGAATGGTCAATTGTCGTTCACAAGACAGCACCTCCGACTTCAACATTCGTTCGATGTAGGATTTTTGTTGATCTTGGCTCCACAATCGAGCATATCTCACCAAATACGATCACCGTGACAGGGTGAGATGTCTTATTCTGGGTTTTTCATCTCTTACATGCACTATAATAATCGATAGCCCCGATTCAATTGTTCTGGTTAGTCTTGTTTGCCTGAACAGTGAACAACTTCATCTATAGTCTTCAAGTCCGTGCCGAAGCACGTGTCTCGAAGGAGATTTTTGGATTTTTTTCAGTTTTAACCCTTTGTTACGGTCCGTTAGGAAAGCGCCTTTTTGGCTTCGATATGTAATCATTTGGAGCTGTTTTCGGAAAATATTTCTCATTGATTTGCGGAGCATTCTAAACTACGACGTCATTTTTTTCGTGATTCTTTCGTGATTCCTACTGATTTTCTCTCTCACGGCTTTGACGACTCCAGAAGCCGTTCCGAACATCAGATGACCGCTTTTTCTTATATTATTGAAAGTTCCCAATTCTCTGAACCGAACGAGTTTCTGATTGACCACTGATTTCCTGATATCAAGTTCTTTAGCGATCTCCAAAGGACTTTTCGTGCTAAGACCCGAAAAATGTAAAACTACCGTAACGAGACTAATTTTCACCCAAATCGAAAAATTCACGCAGATTTGAATTTAACTTGTCAAGAGCTTCAAAATGAGTATAATAATGACCTATTTTCCCCGATTTTCATTTTTCGGACCCCCTATGCGCCTTTAAAGTCAAAAAGTGTCAAAATCCAAAATGGGCGGAGCCTAGTCGTGTTTATACTCATTTTGAAGCTCTTAACAAGTTGAATTTGCATTTGTAAAAATTTTTCGATTTGGTCGAAAAATGACCAAGTTACGGTAGTTTTACACTTTTAGGTTCTTACCACGAAAATCGTAAAATCCTAAAATGGAACGTAGAATTGTCGTAGTTTCATAACAGAACATTTCAACTAACTAACAAACATTTTTTTTAGGAAAAAAGCTAATTGTAAGAAGAACATACGGTATAAAATCGCTATGAAAATGTTCTGGATTACTGTAGGGAAAATGATTTTTTACCGGGGGAAAAACCAACCAAAAACCCCATTGTCCTCAGTCTGATCAGTATTCCAGTATGAATCCTGTTCCAGTGATAAGCTCTTCCAGTATGAATCCTGTTCCAGTGATAAGCTCTTCCAGTATGAACCGAAGCCCGACTGACCGATCAGACCAACTAGCCCATTACCCAACTGACCTACTTTCACAAACGTCGAACACCTAAACTGAATTTCTTAGCCCGTATTGGGAGAAAAGGGGGCGGGGCTTAGCACACCTGAATCTGGCCTAATTATTCCCGTGGAAAACTCCGCCCCCTTTTCAAACGTTGTTGTCGTCATCAGATAAGTAATTAGGGGGCAATAAACCGTAATTGTGAGTGAGGTTTTGACATGCATGTGACAAGGTGAAGAAGAAAAGACAATAGATGTTATCAATCGGGAACAATGAAAAGGAACACCGCCAAGCAAGGCTGTGCTAAATGGTGGCCAATTGGTGGCCCAACTAACAATCCCGAGTTTTTGAGCTTCAAAACGAGTATAACCATGACCTACTTTCCAAGAATTGCATTGTCCCTCAGGCGCCTTAAAAAAAGTCAAAAAGTCTAAATGGGCGGAGCCTAGTCGTGTTTAGACTCATTTTGAAGCTCTAGACAAGGCAAATACGTATTTTGAAAAATAATTAAATTTGCTCCAAAACTGTTTGAGTTACGGTATTTTGAAAAAAATTTTTTTTGAAAATTAAAAAAAAATCGATTTATTGATTAAGCAACAGTAACAATATTCTGATTTTTGAAAGTTTGAATTTTCTCCTCCTCCATCACTTGTTGGGTGATTTTCCTTTCCATCGAATGCGTCTTGACCTACTTTCCATGAATTTCATTTTTCGGGGTCCCCTATGCGCCTTTAAAGTAATAAAGTGCCAAAGTTCAAAATGGGCGGAGCCTAGTCGTGTTTAGGCTCATTTTGAAGCAATCGACAAGGCAAGTTCAGATTTGTTAAAATAAATTAGTTTGCACCAAAATTGTTCGAGCTACGGTATTTTGAAATTTTGAATTTTTTTTTTGAAAAATTAAAATTTTTTTTTCTTGGCTAGAATCTCAAGAATTCAGAAAAACTATACACATTTTTAAAATCAGCCTAAAAAGGGCTTCAAAACGAGTATAACCATGACCTACTTTCCAAGAATTGCATTGTCCCTCATGCGCCTTAAAAAAAGTCAAAAAGTCTAAATGGGCGGAGCCTAGTCGTGTTTAGACTCATTTTGAAGCTCTAGACAAGGCAAATACGTATTTTGAAAAATAATTAAATTTGCTCCAAAACTGTTTGAGTTACGGTATTTTGAAAAAAAAAATTTTTTGAAAATTTAAAAAAAAATCGATTTATTGATTAAGCAACAGTAAGAATATTCTGATTTTTTAAAGTTTGAATTTTCTCCTCCTCCATCACTTGTTGGGTGATTTTCCTTTCCATCGAATGCGTCTTATCAACAACTCGAAAAAATAAAAAAGTGGAGAAAATGGAGAGAATTGGAAGTAGACAAGTATAAGTGTATAATGGTACAATTGGTGAGAAGAAGAAACATGTCATACAGGCGGCCGCATGATACATTCGGGTCACTGCAAACGATTGGGCACGTCGCTGGGGCAGGACTAGTGCACATATCACACTCCTCACTCCGTTTATACAACAATCACTGATTCCACAGAATATGGCAATTAGGAAGATTAAGGGATAGCTGAAAATATGATAGAATGATTTATGAGGATTCTGGAAATCTCTGATTTTCTGATTTCTGACAATTTTAAGCCTACATATGACAATTTTACAGAAAATTGTACTAATTTTGTAAAATAGTCATATTTTGGTTCATTTTTGTTCAAATTTAAAATTTTATTATAATGAATAAAAAACAGAATTACAGAAAAATTCATGTGGATTCTGGAAATATAGTTTTTATAGAATTTGGACAGTTTTAAGCCTACATAAGACGATTTTTTCTGAAACCGAGGCCGGCCGTGGCACAGTAGTTTCACAGTATCTAGGTCCGGAATCCGGATACCCGGGTCCGGATTCCGGAGTCCTGAAACTCTAAAAATAAATAAAAAATTAAAAATCTGTAGTAGTTTTGAAGAATTTGGAAAGTTTTGAGCCAAAATATGATAATTTGAAAAACTTGCAAAAATACTAAAATTTTCAAAAATGAACAATTTTATGTTTTAGTGCAAATTGGCTCATTTTTGTCCAAACTCCAAAATTCATATACTTTCAGAATAACGAATTTCAGCTTAACAAAATGAATGTAAACTCGATTTTCTAAAATTTTTCGAAATTTCTTAATTCTTCAATTTTCCGTCCCACCTCTGCCCAATCCAAATCGATTTCTCACTGGTTGGCCTCATGGGCGCTTCAAACGGTGTTGAAATAAAAACCAATGAGCAATAGATAATCACACTAATTGTGCCAATTAACATAGTTGGTTTTAATCCGAACCCTTTGATTTGTTTGGACAAGGTCGAGATTAAAATTCCCACTGAAAAATTTTTTTTCGACAATTTTTTTTTGAAAATTTAAACATTTCAAAAACTCACTCAAAACCTCTCCTAGGCCAGCGCCAAGACTATAAATTGCTGGAATATAGATCAAATTCGAATTGGATTTTGTAAAATTCATAGCCGTGGGAAAAATGGCCAACCAAAATGAGACATTAAATCCGCCAAGGATAGTTAAGGGCAATAATTGGACAAGTTTTGGACTGATTACTGTAGATAGTGTCATTTCTGAAAATTCTCAACTTCTGAATTTCCGAATTTCTAAAATTCTAAATTTCTGAATTTCGGAATTTCTGAATTTCTGAATTTCTAAAATTCTGAATTTCTGAATTTCTCAATTTCTCAATTTCTCAATTTCAGAGTTTATAAATTTCTGAATTTCTGAATTTCTGAATTTCTCAATTTCTCAATTTCTGAATTTCTGAATTTCTGAATTTCTGAATTTCTGAATTTCTGAATTTCTGAATTTCTGAATTTCTGAATTTCCGAATTTCTGAATTTCTGAATTTCTGAATTTCTGAATTTCTGAATTTCTGAATTTCTGAATTTCTGAATTTCTGAATTTCTGAATTTCTGAATTTCTGAATTTCTGAATTTCTGAATTTCTGAATTTCTGAATTTCTGAATTTCTGAATTTCTGAATTTCTGAATTTCTGAATTTCTGAATTTCTCAATTTCTCAATTTCTGAATTTCGG